AAACTTTCCTGGTGCTCCACGATAATTACATTTCTTTTTTTGTTTACGGCAATTTGTGCATTTTCCTGATAATTTTTGATCTTTGTTCAAAAACTAAAAATTCAAAATTAACTTCGATGTTCTTTTATACTTTGCGAGAATTTGTGTCAAAAAAATATGCTTACTTCATCTAGCAGTTGAGGTGTAATTGAAGTTATCTTTGGTTCGGCTGGAATTTGTGAAGTTATAGTTCTTTTTGGTTTTGGTCCACGTTTACGATCAATTCTTGTAAAATCGCATTTCTTACGAAGGTTCGCACATCTTTCACAAGATTGACGAGAAAGACCGACTACACATTTCCTTTTTAAAGAAGAGCAATAATTGCAAGCCTTCTTATTGTAAGCTCTTGCGGATTTGGGTTTATCCATGTTGTGTTGGACATCAGATCAATGTATTTATATAGGCGTTGTTCCGAAGTAATACTTTGTTTTCATGCAAAATGTCGATTGTGCTCCCTTGGCAGAAGAATTGCGAAAATATTGTCGGCTGGTTTAATTCTATGCGATTTAAGGGTCGGGATAGCATTCCTTAAAAACATCTTTTCTTGTTCCTCTCCAGTCATGACAGAACCGACCAGCATCTTGGAATTTGCCGATGAGATAACCCTCGCCAAGAGGTGCACTTGTTGTATTAAACACAAAAAGAAATGCCACCGGTGTTTTCGTTGCGTTGGAAAAAGAAATGCAATATGCACGCATATTGCGCCAGGAATTTTTAGATGCGTTAGATGCAAGAAAAGTGAAAAAGACTGTTTATTCCAGTGTAAAAAGTGCTATAAGAAGAATAAATTTTCCGACAACGGTCCATTTCCCAGCTGTACTGAATGCAGAATTGTTACAAGAGGTAGGTTCACCTCTTTACACTAGTTGTCCTAACAAGGTTTAACACATTCATCGTTCTATCAGATCCACCCATTGAATATGTTATCTTTGAAGAAGGTGGTAAAATATATTTTCAGCCTATTGACGGTAGTAATAACAAATTTGAAATAAATGATGGTAAGATTAAATATAATCTATTTTTTGAATTTGTCATTCGTAGGTCTTCTTTTCATATAAATTTATGATGTACCTGTAGAAATTTTTGGGAAACTCTGTGAGTTAAAAAGAAAAAATGGGTATAATCTTGGCAGACATGTAGGGCACTTTCTCGAATCTTCATCTTCAACCGCCGAAGAAATTCCTATTTACTCTGAGAATGCGGCTGATTTCCACGAATTACACGAACTCCCTAACCCGAATATCGTTGACCCCTCGAATGCACTCCCTATGCGCGAATCTCACGAATTTCTCGACACATCCGCTATGGATGAAATCCAAGAATTCTTTGATTATCCAAACACGACCTTCGAATATGGATCCATCGACCAGACTTCTGACTCGTTTTAAAACCGCTTTCGATCTCGGGTATTACGTCATTAATCCTCTAGCATGGGGAAAGTTACCACCCACTTATCTCTTGTTTTCAAGTTCTGTTAACAAACCTAAAAAATATTAATTATTTATCATATTTATATTCGGATAAGTTTCCATTTTATTACTCATGTAACAAAATTATAATACGTGAGAACAATTAGAAAAATTTCAAGCTGGTTACCAAAAATTCAAGTACGCTAATAATGATTGTCGCCAGTATCTTTTTCGACGAAAATTTTTCCGAGAGTAATGCTTGTAAACTTAGTTTTGCTAGAATTCATTTCAATGTCGGCGAGAAAGTTACAAGAATAAAATAAATTATTTTCAAAGGGTAATTTGCAATTTCCAGGATGTTACTGTTTAAGTAACATTAACCCATCAAATGAGTTTGATGTAATCCCTCAAAGGTTGCTGATGTGTGTATTCAGTTAATAATGAAAGACAATCTGTGATTTAGACTAATCGACATAACATCTTTCGACTTGAACAGAATACAAGGGTGACTTCATTTTGTAGTATTTGTTTCCTCGAGAATCTTTTAACTAGCATTCGGTTGATAATACATTTTAAGGGAAGATAATTTATAAACTAGAATATGTGAATATGTCATTTCTACGGATATATATAGTTTGAATTTAATATCAATAATCTCGAAATGGCGAGCATTGGCGGAATATTTTTTCGCAGATGCGACATCAACGGTGAAATTTCTTCGCTAATGCGACTTCTCCCATCTTTTTTCCCCATTCACTTTCCCTATTATGGAAGTGATGATCCATCATCTATATTACAAGTTAAATTTTAGATATACGGATCTTACAATTCGTATATAAAGATCACGATTGTAACAAAGAGACAGACAAGAATAAACCCGATAATGTGTGTAATATGAATTAAAACGCCAACCAAAATAAACAATATAGAAAAATAAAAATTGTGTAAAATATTACAGAAATTATTATGCAAAACAATATTTAATCAAATATATTGTCATTATTAATATTTTCTTTAAAAAATGTTTTATTTATAATTTTGTTAAACAAATTTTTATAAATTGTAATTTCGAAAAATAGGTAATTGCTATATATAAAAACATATTGTTATAAATTTTAGTTTATTATTACAAAACAAAAAAAAAAGTATAATAAAATATCTATGTATTTGATGTTTTAATATATACAAAAATTTTTTAACAACAAAATTTAAAATTTACAATATAATTTTAATTTTATATATAATAATATTAATTAAGTTTTAATATATTATTGATTAATTTATTATATTGTAAATATTACTATTAATATTATTTTATATTATTTTTAAATTTTTTAAAAAAATCAATTTATTTTAATCTTGTATAAATATTTATTACTTTGTTATTATAAAATTTTTTAAGATAAGCAACTTAATAAAATATTAAAAAAATAATTAAATTAATATAATAAATTATATTTTATTTATATTATTTAATATAAAATTGAAAATTAATTATTTATTAATCTTTTATTTATTTATTTATAATTTAATTTTTATAATTTATATTAATTGTTAATTTTAATAAAATTTTATAACAACAATATTTTTTAATATATATTAACTATTTTTTTATAATGTATATTATATTATTAATTAAAAATAATTTTTTATAATCTTAACTTATTGCAAATTGTATGTTAGAAATATTATTTCTTTCCAAAATATATACCCTGCTATATACAAATAAAAAAAGAAATGGTATTTATCTACTTTAAAAAATAAAAATAAAAATAATTCTTATAACCAATAGTTAATAAATATCTTTTTGTATTTTTATTTTTTATTAAAATTTTATTTTAAAAAGCATATTAATTTTTCTATCAATATGCAAAATAGTGAATATATATAATATTATGATTACTTTTTATATACAGTATATAACGTAGCAAAACAATTCTGGTTCAGAAATAATTACTTTTTTATCACTAGCATCAACTATTGGAAATAGACCATGTGATCGCATGTGATATTAGCAAATTTTTTTTGCGAGCTAGTGTATATATGCATATCATGCACCATATGTATTAACCGAAAGTATTTATACAGGGGTGAGAAACGCCTAACGATAATTTCTTTTCATTTCAATTATTTTTCGTATCTACTAACAATCACTCCCTGAATCTGTAGAGTCTCTGTAGCCAATTAAGTATTTCATCTTTCCTATTGCGCAAATTCTAATGAGATTTTCCGCTCCGTAAAAGTTATTCCGAAAATTTTCCGCAATTATTCCGCTCAATTATTCCGCATAGTTTCGTTAACTGGTAACTAAAAATTCAAACAGGACCATTTGACATCTCAAAATTTATATAACTCAACTATTTGTCCTCATCTATTTACCAACCGCCCTTTATCATACGATTGTGTTAAACATTTATTGCAAAATTTTAATCGAAAAAAAAATCAATGATAATGATTTCCCGGTAGTTCATCTTCATAGACTTTCAAACATTTATGTTCATATACATATTCAAATTCAATAATTTATATAAAGGTAACTATTAAATTACAACTTAAATTTCGTATTATCTTTGAATTTTCTCACATATAATCATTTTTTATAAGAGAAATCGAGACAAGTTAGGTAGCTGGAGATAGAAGATGCATAGGATTAGGTTGATTAGTTTTTATACTAGATAATTATATTTGACAACGAAATGATGTGTGGCGAACTTACTGGGAAAATCGTATGTTGTAGTTGCATCTTCGAGGAATGCAAGGAATTCGTGCGTATACTAGGGTGCAATGTGATTCATGTTAAAGAGTTCGTGGGTAATATAATTGGCGGGAGCATTGGAAACATTGGAAACATGGGAGAAACCGTTTTCTGTGACAGCATATTCACTAAAGTGTCTTCTAAGAGGTTCATTGGAGACAATGGAATTGGCGAGGGCACCGGAGATATGAGGGAAATTGTTTTCTGTGATGGAATATTCAGGAAAGTGTCTCACAAGATCATATCCATTTTTTTTTTTCAATTCCAAGATTTTTTCAAAGATTTCTATATATTCATCGAAAATTTTACATGAAAAAAAAAGAATCATGAATGTAATTAATTTCAAATATTTAATCTCACCATCATCTACTTCATATTCATTATTATTATGATCAATAGGCCGAAGATAAACTTTTCCATCCTTTTCAATGGTTTCCAATCTAACGGGAGGATCTGATGCGACAAAATGATGTTAAACCTTGAGAACAGTAATTTGAAGAGGACAAAGCTCACCTTCTGTAGCGATTTTGCAGTCATTACACCAGGGAAGAGGTTGACCTTTTTCCACGCTTTTGTTACTTTTGTAACACTTTGTACATTGAAACAAACAGAAGTTTTTGCTCTTCTTGCATTTTTCGCATATATAAGCTTTTGGCGTAATATGTGTACATCTTTCTTTCTTACTGATGCAAGGAGGACACCCGTGGCATCTTTTCTTTTGTAGTATACAGAAAATACACCTATTTGCGAATTCTAAGTTGTTTTTCGGTTCCTCCATCGCAGGAAAAAAAATGGTAAACCCGATATCTTTAAAGAAGTTTATATTTGGACTTATTGCGACCCAAAAAATCGCAAAAGCCGACTAGGAATATCGCAACAACCTAAACAAGGAATACAAGAACACAAACATTGCCGAAAAAATTTGTCGGATGATCTGTATATATATAATGTCTTTTAATACGAGAGGGCAAAAATATGAATAAATCCAAAACTAGAAGGAACGCAACGAGGGCTTGTAATTTATGTTGTGTTTTAAGAAAGAAATGCGTATTTCACCCTTCGAGTCAGAAGTGCTTAAGATGCCTAGAAAAAAATGAGACTTGTGTTTTTACGAGAAATGGCTGTAAACGTGGACCAAAACCAAGAAGGTTTACAGCTCTACAAATTCCACCGGAACCAGAAATAATTTCAATTGGACCTCAACTACTGGATAGGATGAGCTTTAACTCGGAGGTTAGTGAAATATTTCCTCTTCGTAAATTTCGCTCGTAAGTAACTATTTAACGTTACTTATCGAACCATTTAGTTTCCAACCGAAAATTCAAAATTTTGCGCAAGTTGCCGTGAGCAAGAAAAAAGATGTACTTATAATTGTGTACCAGGAGAGTTTAGATGCGAGCAATGCAAGAAAAGCAAAAAAGGATGTTTATTCCAATGCATAAAATGTTATAAAAAGAACAATTTGCTTTCATCTTGTACAGACTGTAAGGTTACTAAGGAAGGTAAAAAAATTTTTATTTTCATGATCCAATTACGAAACATGCGCAAGATATTAGTAGGAGACTCTGACAGGAGTGTCAATTAACTCTAAATATATTCAGATCCACCAGAAAGTCAACATAGAATAATCATTGATCCTGATACTCAGAAGCCTTATCTTCAGCATTTCAATTGTAACCATAAGATCGAAATAACTCCCAGTAAGACATATTAACAAATGTGATGTTTTACGATATTTTAAAAGGTTAACTTTATTAATAAGATCTTGTTATAGCTTTAATAGATGCTATGACAAAATCATATGAGGCTGGGAGGGTAACAGATGAGGCGATTGATCACGGCGACTCGGATAATGCGAAGGCTCAAGTAACAGATGGTGACTCATATGATACTATTATAAAATCATATGAGATGGCAGGCCATTCCAACGCATGCATGACACCACAATTAACAATTAATGACTCGTTAATATTCTGTGATACCGGCTTATCCACGTTGGAACCAGATTGGAGCAATTGTAACTCTATAGAACTTTTCAACCAGACTTCTAATGAAGGTTTATCCTATGGGAAAGAATTTATTAACCCAACTTCTTATGAATCGGAAACTAATTTAGAAACCGAATTTACAGAGCTCCTTCAGTATGAATTTAATTCCAATTTTTCATTCTCTCTATCTACCACTGATAATTGAGTATTTTATTTCATTGGCATCAATATCATCTCGATGTACCTAATCTTGATATGTCCGCTCATATTCTTCCCTCCTGTATTAATTATTAGTCTATCGTTAATATTTATAGATTACTGTTTAATTGTGAATACATATTTTGGCTGAATAAGAATATTTGGAGAATTGTTCAATCGAAAATACTCAAAAAAATCTCGATTTATTTTTGTGTTTGTTATATACTGTAAATGAAGTTCGATATTGAATATTAAGATGTTTTTAATAAAATACTTGTTAAAAATACTTTTATTAATTTGGTTTCTAAAATCATTTAATTCTTATATTTGGTCAAAAATATAGATATAAATATATTTCGCTATCTAAAAGTACTGTATTAATAACTTAAATTTTAAAAAATAAACTTGGATATAAATTCATTATAGACTATATTTATCAAATTTATATTTCAATTACAAATAAAAAGTATACTCTTGATACAAAAAAAATTTTTCATAAAAATTTATTATTGATTTAAAAATCACAAAATATTTATTAAAACTTTTTTATTATTTAATTAAATTTTAATTTAAAAAATAATAAATATTTGTTGTATTGAAAAAATTTTTTTTTATTTTTATTTGAAAATATTGATTTATAAATTGTTGTATTTAAATTATTTTTTAATATTTTAATCAAAATATATCTAATACTGTATGTTTTATTTTTATAACTTTTTTTTTTAAATCCAATTTTTATTTATAATATAATAAAAAAATATTATTAACTAAGTTATTTATTTATTTTTAAAATTTTTTTTTAATTTACAATTAGGCTGGAATTATTTATTTATTAAATTATAGAACTATTATAAGTATAAGAATATATCAAAGTATAAATATTTTCAATTTAGCTTATTTATTAATAGCTGAAACTTATTAAAAAAAAATAAAAAACTCTTTTTTATATAGTAAAAAATCAAAAAAAATTGCTTTTTAAAAAATTTTTCAAAAAAAATAACAAAAAAGTAAAAATATAAATGAGAGTTAACCAAGTATCAATATCAAATACAGAAAGAAAAACAATAAATGTGATTAGAGAAGCAAGAATAAAGACAATTATTATTATTATTAAAAAATCAGACAGATTCAAAAACTTAAACAGAGAAAAAATAAAAAAAATATTAATATAAATAGCAAGTATAAATATGAAAAAGAGAAAAAAAGAAAAAGCAATGGATAAAAAGGAAACAGTAAAAAAGAAAATACAAGAAATAATAGAAAACAAAAAATGGAAATTAAAAAAAAATTCTCAAAATCAAATAAAGAAAATATCACTAGTATAAGATTAGATATTAGAACAAAAGAAATTGGAATATATGAAAAAAAAGTAAAGAAGAACAAAATAATGAGGAAAAATCCAAAGAAATGAAAATAAAATTTAAATTATATGCAAATTAGAATTATCAATAACCATAGAAACAGTAATAATAACAAAGATAGTAAAAAAAACTTGTATAGTATTTAATTCTTTCTTGAAAATAAAAGTAAAAAGAGAAGCTATAGAAAAAAAAATTATTATTAATTTTAAAATCTTATTAATATACAAAAGGTATATAATATTAACTTTAATATAGATAAAAATAAAAAATATTTAATTTTTATAAAACTAAAACAATATCAATTAAAAGAAAAATATATTAATATTAAAGATATTCTACTTTCAACTAGTTAAAGAGCAATCAAGACAACTTTAAAGAAATTTAATAATATTTATGCTATAAATATCCAATCAATAAAAATATAATAAACAATAATAATAATTTATAAAGAAAAAAAAGATATTAACTTCTGATCAAAATAGAGTCAATTCTATTCAAAAAAAAATTTCAAAAAATACTTTTAAAATAGAAGAATAAAGAAAAACTTGCAAGAAAATCAAAATATATACTTAAACTAATAGGATTATCAATAGGCATCACAATATATAATCTAGTAAAAATAGTAAAAAAAACAAGTGAGAAAATCATATATATTCTAAGAATAGGCAGATATTTTAAAAAAATATTTGTATATATAACATTTAAAACAAAAAATCAATTAAAAATAGTAGAAAAACAAATCTTCAAATTAGATAGAGTAATAATTAACTTTATAAATCAATATAAAAAATTATATTACAAATATGAACAAAACAGATATATTATTTTTCAATATAAGAAAATAAGAGTTTAAAGAAATCCAGCTATAGCTTAATCAAGATTTTTATTAATTTAATTTAGATTCAAAAAAGAATCAGAAAAAAAGATACATATATTCTATATAAAAATATTGAAAAAGCAAAGCAAATCTAAATTAGTTTACAAAAAAAAAAAAAAAGAGAACAAAAAAAAATAAGAAAAAGATTAAACAATTTAGAAAAAAAATCAAAAACATGAAAATGAAAATCAACACATTATAAAACTAATCATAAAAAGAATAAGAAAAAAGAAAACAAGAATAAAAGAAAGAAAAAAAAACAAATACAATATCAAGATATAGAAGAAATAAATATTAAAGAAAATGAAATTTCTTTAACAATATATAAGAAAATTAATGAAAAAATAGCTAAAAAAACAAAATAAGTTAAAAAAATATATAGAAAATATAAAAAAAATACTAAGCAAATTGTTAAGAAATAATTAATTAATAATTATAAAAAAGAAACAATAATTGAAGAAACAATAAGAAAAATAATGTATAATAATAAAAACAAGTAAATATAATAATACAATAAAAAGAAAATAGAAACAACAAAAATATTAACATGTATAAAAAAAAAACAAATATAAAAATTATAAAAATTATAACAATAAATATAAATGAATTAAATAAAAAATTTAAAAAACAACAATTGCAATACTATTATTACCAGAACAATATAACTATAATAGAATATTAGATATCAAATTCAAAAAAATAATAAATAGAAAAACAATAGAAAACAACAAATATAAGATATTTTGAATATATATTGAAAAACAATCTAAAGATATGGAATTAATAATATAAAAAGATTAGACTAAACATATAAAGAAAATAACAACTAATATTCAAAGAAAAATATAATATAAAAATGATACAAAAGTATATATATTGTCATAACTAAATCAAGAAAGAAAAGAAATAATAATAAAAATATAAAAAATTATAAAAGAATAAATAAAAAAACAAGTAATATACTAGTCGAAATTTGGTTATTCAGCAAATCGAATTATTGTTAAATTTTTAAATTTTTAATAATTTTAAATTTAAGCTGAATTTATACTGTTTGGTGTCACTTAGCATAAAATCAAATATAAATATTTATTAAACATTTGTTAATAGTATGACTATAACATTATAGCATTTGACAATGTAAATACAAATATTTAATAGATAACTTAACCATAATTTAACATATTTTATGTTTGAATTTTCATATATATTAGTAATTAATTTCATTATTTAAAAATAAAAATAATTAATAAAATTTAACAATTATTCATAATTATAATTAATAAAAAATTTATTAAAATATAATAATAAAATAATATAATTTGAATATAACAAAAAAATCACTCATATAAATTAAGTTATTTGTTATCTTCTGTTTCTTTTTTCTCTTCTTTCTTTTTTTCTATTTCTTTTTCTTTTCCTTTAATTGATCTTATTCTGGATAATCTTCTTGGTGCCCTTTTTTTTTTCTTTTTTTCAATTGTTTTTTTCTTGCTGATTTTTGTACCTTCTACTGTTTTTGCTTTAATAACTGTCTCCTTGACCTCACCTATTATTGTGCTTTCTCTAGTTTAATGCTTCTCCAAATATATTAATGATTCTTCAGCAACCTTTTGTTTTTTATGTTTTTCTACTGATTCTTCAGCTTTTCCTTCCAAATAATAAATCCAATTCAGCAAATCTTTGGGTAGTGTTATATTATAATAAGTTGCAGTTTCATAAGTTCTCTTATAAGTTATTTTTGTATGTTGAATTTTTGTTGAATGTTTGTCCAAAACTTCTCTTAGCAATTTAGTTAACTATATAATAAATAAATATTCTATATATAAATATTCAACAAACAAATATTTGACTTTAATGATATTTAAATACCTCATGAGAATATCAACTATAATTATATATGATTATTTTTCTTTTATCACTTTTTGGATCAGTTTCACTTTCTTCAAGTAAATGGATCTTCATTTCTTTAAAGACATCAAGCAATTCATCCCAATATTTTGCAATTTCTTTAAACTTGTTATTAATTAATGATTTCATACTTTTAATTCTTTGGTCCCTTTTTTTTATTATTCGTTAAAAATTAGTATATGTAAAATAATATATATACTATATATAAGTCTAATATTCTTATCTCACTTAACCAACTATTTGCATACAAATACCTATCATCTGCCTCTAATTTTCCTGATTTTAATTTTAGATATCTTCCTCTTTGATGATAATGTAAGGCATCCAACCAGTCATATAGTTGTCTTCGTGAGATATTAAAGTTTGGAGCCATTAATCTTAATAATTCAGGTATTGGCTTGATTAATATTTTTTTATTTTTAGAACTCGAAAAAACTTTATTCATCCTTAATTTAAAATGTTCAGAGAATATCTTCACAATATATTTTATTTCTTCTCTTGTTTTTTTTGAATCTGTCTCATAAACTGTTTTGCCCTTACCTTTTGTGTTTCTAACTAGTCAAAATCTTTGTTCTTGTGGATTTAACCAACGTTCAGTACTTTTATAATCTTCAACATTCTTATAATCTTTAACATCAGTATTTTCAAAATCTTCAACATCAAAATCTTTGATATTATTATTACCTGAATTTTCATCTGGGACTTCTATTGATACTACAGATGTCCCAGGTAATATGAATCCTTCAGATAATCCAGATCTCAAAGATATCACAACAATCGGATTCTTTTTTAAATATATTATTTTTTTCTTAAATTTTTTCTCTTGGGTGGCAAACTTTCCATTTATGTATTCTAAAGATT